CCAGCTGCTTCTGCTGCCTCACGCCAAGTCCTCCAGCAAAAAGCTGTTCTGTGTAGGTGAGTCACCAACCACACTGGAGACAGTTCTTTGTGGTGTTATCCCATCCCCTCTCCCTCTTCTCCAGAGCTTTGCCAAAGGACACATCCTGCGGTTGAAGACCTCACGATGGAAAATTCTGTGAAGAGATTTTGACCAAACTCAGGGATTTTTCAGTGGTCTTTGTCCCAGCACTGCACCCACATGTGTCAGCACAACATGCAAAGTACTTTCTCCATGCTTCACCAATTAGCACAGAAATGATCAAACCACCCCGGGCAGGTGCTGAGCACCACGTCTAGACATGGTTTTGGGGAGAAGGATGTGCACAGAATCAAAAGCAGCACTGGGAATATTCTCTTTGTCACTCTGGTGCCTCCAACTCCAGATGTGAGATCCCACCACAGGGTGGAAGCAGGAGCAGAAGTGTGAAGCTCACACGTGGTCCTGCTGGAGAGAGACTGTAGCACCTGGGAGAGCATTTGAGAGCAAAGCAGCTCCTCTGACAGCATGGATCTGAGCTCTGCCTCCACAGGGTCCCTAAGGGAATTTCACAGTCTGGAGCTTCACCCCCGGAATGCTCATACTGTGCCAAGGAAACAGAAGTGCTGGGAATTCCTGGCAGCTGGTTCCACTAACCATTCCAGTGGAAGGTGTCCCTGCCCATGGCTGGGGTTAGAATGAGACGATCTTTTAGGTCCCTTCCAACCCAAACCAGTCTGGGATCCTGGGATTCCATGGACCCACCGTTTGCTTCCTGTGGATGTTCATGATGTGAATGTCTTCGCTGCGGTACTCCTCGTCATGCTTATCCAGGGGGATTTTCTCCACCTCAAAGTCCCTCTGAAGCAGCTGGTGGTCAGAGAACACATGGAATGATTCCACCAAAGGCCTCCACAACCATTCCAGCTATTTCCCCCCTCAGAGCAGCACATTTACCCTCACATTAGCTACTCCTGCACCAATCCAAAGCTAGGGACAGCCTGAAACACTTAAGAATCTGTAACTTGTGGAAAAACATTCCTGAAGTGTTCAAGCCATGTGGATGTGGCACTTGGGGACATGGTCAGTGGTGGCCTTGGCAGTGCTGGGGGAATGGTTGGACTTGGTGACCCCAAAGGGCTTTTCCAACTTTAACAATTCTGTGACTCTATTTTTCTGCTTCCTTCAGTCCCTAAAGTGCTCAGACAAACCACAGCACCTGCCAACTCTCTCCGCTGGAGGGGAACAAAACCAGGCTAAACCACCCTGGGATGTGCTCAGATTGACTGGGCTGAGCCTGACAAACCAAGGAAGGAAATAATCCCAGAAATCAGCCAGAAACACCAACATTTGCTGTGTTTGTGATGAGAGAAGCACCTCAGCAGAGCTGAGCTCGACCCTCCTCGCAGCCAGAGCCCCACAGGAGTGCAAGGAATGGCTCATTATCAAACAGGTGCTTTTATTAACACACACAGATCACCCTGGAATTCTCACCCTTCCGTTTTTTGCAGTATTATTACTGGCACATATAATGCTTTCCCACAGGCATCACAGGGGCAGTTAGATCTGCACTGACCATCATCTGCACCACTGGGAGCGACTCGGGTGTTCCCTCTGTCCCTTTTCCTTCCCTGCACAGCTGGAATATTTAGTTAAAAATTAAAACACCTATCCATGCTCTCTCAGCAGAGAAGGGAATTTTTCCTATCTGATTTTCTATCACTCGGCAGAGTCCTCAGTCCCTGAGCAGAACTTTGTGTTTTCCCTCTGCTTCCAATGCACAGAAAATGTGTTACAAAACATTTACCTCAAAGTATTTCCTCTCGATTTCAGGATTCTTCCCCACAGTTCTCTGCTCATAGCAGCACAAGACACACGTGTTGGGGCCAGTCAGGTCCTTCAGTGTCTTCAACAATGGCTCTAAGGACTGCCCAAAAGAGGTTAAATATTCCCCACTCAGATTTCAAGCTCATTTCACTGGTACAACACCCTCTGGCTAAAGGCTTCACCCAGGAGAGAACTTCCCAGTTTTGCTTTCCAGGGAGGTATTTTTAGCCCTTTAACTGGGACAAGAGGAACATGGGGGCAAGCTGGAAAGCAGAGGAGAAAGGGAGAATGCACAGGAGAAGAGTTTCAGGGACTGTCCAGGAAAAGTGAACTGGAATCAAAGCCCAGAACATCCCACACTGCTGAGTGGGCACTTCCTCAAGGCACACAATTTGTGCCTTGGTATGGTTTAAAAGTGAGAGTCTCCTCAATTGTTCTTGGAATATGGCTCAGACCCAGGCCACAAGGTATGGGAATGGGACCAGCACGCAGGGAGCCAATGCTGTAAAACCACTGGAAGGACACTGGAACATGGAGTACTTCCTTTTCCTGCAGCTTCTCCTACTCTCCATGCACATCCCACAGAGCTCCAGCTGAGGAGTTGGAGCAGACTACACCAACCATTTAGCTGGAGCATCATTTCTCCTCTTGCCTTCCCAAGGGAAGCACGAGCAGAGCCCAAACAGAGCAGATGTAGCACTTTTAAAATTCATTTACCAACGACTTCTACAGTTCACAACATTTTGCTTCATACTTCATTCCCAACGTAAAAAAAAAAAAGAGGATGAGGATGCACATACATTATATTTGGGGATTTTTCAAGTCTCAAGTGCCCTTGAATCTATTAAAAATGCCTTTTCCAGTTTTGTTCTAGTACTCCTCTAATCCCCAGGGACCAAGACACAAACACTGTGTTTATCTGAACACTTCTCACACTAAACTCAGCCCCTTCCCCAGGAAACTTTCTCTAGGGGTGTCACAAAGTCCTCATTTACCTCCTCATAGTAAATGCAATCAGCCATGAGTATGTAATCAGGGGGAGGCTGAAATTCTGACACATCTTCACCCCTGAAAAGAACAAACAGGAAAAAAACACAACAAAAAGTGACAAGCTTCAGTAAGAACTCATACAACTAAAGGGCTCAGTATAAAGTCAACTACTATGCAGAAGGAAAACCAAGCTCCCATGACAACTCATATTACTAAATGACTGAGCATAAAGTTAATTACTATGTCCTTACATGTAGTGTAAGGACATATACATAGTCTTTATATGTCCTTGTACACAGTACAGTAAGTCCTTACAGTCTAAGGGGAGGTATTTTATAGCAGAAGGACATAGAAGCTTCCCTTTTGCAGCTGTTTTAAAGTATGTTTATCAATTCAAGCCAGCCCAGGAGCCCTGCTAAAGCTGAACAGAGACATTAAAAGCTCATACAAACCATTTCAGTACCTTGGCTCGGACTGATCCTGTGATCAGGTGCTTGTTGTTCTCTATGTTCACCATCAGCAGCTCCTGCAGCTCCTCGAGGTCAAAATACTTGTATTTGAATATTCCATGTGATGGTTCAGTCCTTCTGCACACCAGGAGGGCTCCACACACACACACACACACACAGGGGTTAGGGGATAACACTGCAGCACCAGCACAGGGAATGGACATCGAAAGGATTTCAGGTAGATGATTTGGAACAGAGGGGGATGAGAGGCACAGAGGGGGCACAGCAGGGTGCAGAGGGGGATGAGTGGGCACAGAGGGGTATGAGAGGGCTCAGAGGGGCATGAAGGGGCATAGAGTACAGAGGGGTGTGAGTGGGCACGGAGAGGTACAGAAGGGTATGAGTGGGCACCGAGGGGTGTGAGGGGGCAGAGAGGGGTGTGAGGGGGCACAGGGGGGTACAGAGGGGTATGAATGGGCAT